TGTGTGTGTGTGTGTGTGTGTGTGTGTGTGTGTGTGTGTGTGTGTGTTTAACTGCTTTGTCACACTAGAACCTGGTATCATTCGTATATGCAATCTGGGACGTGGTCTCTATACATAGCATACATACGTGTAGCTGCGCTGTTGGTAGTTGCTAACTTGTACATGCCGTTCACCAGGATAGGGGAGAGGATGCAGGTCCATGGGTCCCCTGCACGCAAGTCGAAGTTAGAGGAAACCCTTGCTCCTGGTTTTTCCTTTCCTTTTCACTGGAGATGTTGTTTGCTTTTGCTACATTTGGCCTGTGAGTGTCCAGCCACCCTCTGCCTCCCATCATGCTGTCAGGGTGCTGGGGTTACAGGTGCCACTACCCCGTCTGTCTATAAACAGTATTCCAGTTCACGTCCTCAGACTATCAAGCTTTTTACCTGCTGAGTCATCTTCCCAGCCACACGCACACTTTTTTTTTTCTTTTTAGCTCATTCAAGATGATTTTTGTTAGCTACTGTTATTTGTGGTTGAGTTTTACTTGTTGGCCCTTGTCATCTGGCCCTGGGGTGTGGCTTCCTGGCTTGTCTCTCCTTAGTAAACCCTTCCCAGTGCTATACGTGAGGAAATGAAGAAGCAGCCTGTTCTGTAAATTTGGCCGATCCTGGTCTAAGTAGCTAGATTTTCCAAAACACTATATATGTTCTTTTCAGGAAAGATTATTCACAAGAGAGCAAGTAACAAGTCCAGTAAGATGTCAAAAATAATACATTTGCTAGGTTTCATAGTATGTCCCTAGAAGTACAACATGAGACCAGTGAAAAATGGAATTCTGTCTTTTCAATATTTATATTTATAGTATCAAGTTAATAATGTTTCATTTTATGGTCCTTTAAAGGATTTTCCAAAAAAATATAAAATGTGCACATGCATTTATATTATGTGTATTTATACATAATATATTACCTATCTTATATAATCTTATAACATAGATCAGATTATATTATTATATATTATTTTATATAATCTGTTTTATATTATGTAATCTTAATATTACATATTATATATTATAACATAATATATTATAACATAATATATATATAACATAATATATTATAACATAATATATAATATGTAATTAGGTAAGATTCTCTTCTCCTAGCTACCCAGGCAAATAAATTATAAAATAGCTAGGATTTTGTCTGTCTGGAAGAATAGGAAAATAAAAAAAATAAAAATTTTAACTTTCTTTGTTAATGTTAAGAAGTTGGTTTTAGCTGTCACTATAAAGCTTAATTTTGAACACATAAATATCATCATAACAAAGAACAAATAAATTTTTGTTAATTTTTTTTATCTTGTTCCCAATCTTAGATTTTAAGTAACTGGAGGGAAGAAAGATACCAAGATGACACGAAGGCCCGCCAGATGATGCACGAGGCTTTGCAACTTCGCCTAAATCTGGTACGGACTGTGGCTAGTGTTTCTGCTACCTTGATCAATGTGTAAATAATACCAGCTTTCAACTTCTGTGGGCAGAATCTGCATGGCAAAGTGAAGCCTTCCTCTTTCTATCTCTGCACCTACTTCCTTTTCTCTTAAACCTTCTGTTTCCTCTGCTGTGGCCTTCCTGTCTGGGTTGAGTTCTAGACTGTGGTCTTTTAAGCATCAATATGTTTTCCATTGAGTCTCCATCCAGCAGCTCTCTCTCCTTTTAGTCAGTACTAAGAGGAGGTCTGAGAAGCCTTTACTTTGATAATTTTAGCTTTTAGTGTATTTTATTTCAAAACCACAAAATCCATCAACCCTTAGTTTTTCCCAGAGAGACGTCCCATCAAATTGATTGGAAAAAGACAAATTTCACAAGAATGTTTTGTAGACATCTAAAAGTTCTCAACACTTTTTGTATTCCTTTGAATTTTCTCTTCCTGTTGGACAAACCCCAAATGAAATCTGCTTGTCTTATCTTTTGGTGACCTGACCTCCTCACAGGATCTGGCAGACAGGTCGCACCACCTTCTGCATGTCATTCCTTCTGTACTAAGGAGCATTTCTGATGGTGTTATAATGGCAGGCTTAGATGCAATAATAATCCAATATCACAAATTTTCCGGTAATGAAACAGAGTTTTGATGCTATTCGGGTTTAATTTTTTTTGCAGTTGGGTCTAACACCGAGTACCATGGGAGATTGATAAGAAAAGAAAGCTAATTTTATGAGTGCCCACACTCAAATATCACTCCTTTTTTTAAGTTTTGAATAGCTATGCTACATTGAAAGAACCAAAATAGTGATTAACACCTAGCTGAATGAGATGGGCTGTAGGGTAATCCATAATGTGCTTATCAAGAACCAGTTCTTAACATCTCTTTTGTTTTAACAAGTCAACGTTTGGGCACATAGTAAGAGGGGCAGTGTTTTCTGCTAGAGACACTAATTCTTTGTTGTCTTTTGTATGCTAGGTAGGAGGAATGTTTGACACGGTGCAGCGGAGCACCCAAGGAACAACGGACTGGGCGCTCCTCCTGCTCCAGATAATTACTTCAGGAACCGTTGACATGCACACTAACAAGTAGGTTGTGACCGTTGTTTTATACTTTTTTTTTTTTTTTGGTACATGCATGCATGATATAAGCTTTGATATACTGACAGTAAATTCTGCCACTTAAAATCAGTGCTTTCAGTAGAAATGATTAGATAATTGTGTGTATTCTGTTTGTTTTTTGAGAATAAAATGGCTCTTTTTTCCCCTTTCCTCTCAGTGAATTATTCACAACAGTTCTTGACATGCTGGGTGTTTTAATCAATGGGACCTTGGCTTCTGACCTATCAAATGCTTCCCCTGGGGGATCTGAGGAGAACAAACGTGCATACATGAATTTAGTAAAGAAACTGAAAGTAAGCTTGCGATCAGCTTCTACTCTGAAATCAAGTTGTCTATGGGTGATTGTCTGATTTCCTGCTCATTAATTCACACATCTAGTTGAGTCAACATAATGGGATTATTTGTTGTCTTTCCTAGACTATGAACCCTTCAAGGTTACACGTATGTTATCTGAAAGATTTTCCCCTAAAAATATATACTCATAAAACATGTTTAATTTTTAACTAATTTAGAAATGCCTTATCAGATATAGAACCAAAACTCTGGTGTCAGACTTTCTTCAAACCCATGCTTGGATTTGCACATGTAAGTGGAAGAAATTATGAGCATTTGCATTGAATTTTTAAGTCTAACTCACTTGATAACCCACTAAGTCCTTGAAACAAACGGCAAATAAACATGACAAATACATAATCCGAAGACTTTACAGTAAGATAACTGGTGGTTACCTTGCAGTCTCCCCCCGGATAGGAGAAAGTGTCCGTGCTGCAGCTCCTGCTGTGTGACTGCAAAGAACACTGTGGTTTTGTCATTTCAGCATTCGGATATTTCCCGGTAAACAAGACTGCCTTTGTGTGTACTCTATTTTCTACTTGAATAGAAGAAATGAAACATTTCAGCAGTCTTATTTGCAGCTGTTCCATAGACTTTGCTGAGGGATAAGGACGTACTAGCTCTAAAAAAAGGAAATGTGTCATTGGGGAACTTCCTTCTCATTAACTTTTACATTTGTTGTAGAGTCAGAATGTTTTTTTTTTTTTTTTTTTTTTTTTTGCTTCACTTCTCTCTTGGCTTGTATGATTTTTCTTTTTCTTCTAGAAAGAACTAGGAGACAAGCGGTCAGAAAGCATTGATAAAGTTAGACAGCTGCTGCCTTTGCCAAAGCAGACATGCGATGTCATCACTTGTGAACCCATGGGTTCTTTGATCGACACAAAGGGAAACAAAATTGCTGGATTTGACTCCATTGATAAAAAACAGGCAAGAGTAAATGTTTTTCTTTTCTCATATATAAATATATCCAGTTATAGAAACCAAGTGATTTACCTCCTTTGAGGATATACAAAACATCTTAATTTAATTTCTTAGCTTTCAAGAATACTATATTTTTGTCATCTAAGCAGAATAGCTGGTGGCATCATAAAGAAGCCATATCTTTAAAGATCTTCATTTAAAATGCTTATCTGGACCTAAGTAAATTTCTGGGATCTACCAAAAAAAGTTAGATAAAGGCTTAGTATAAAAAATAAGAGTAAAAAGCAGTTTTGATTTTACTTCAGGACAGGAAACAGTATGTTTTTGTAGGAAATTCTATATTGATAAGTATTTTCAAATACTAAGTAATCTATATTAAGTAAAACTTCTAGGTGTTACAACACTACCTCTTCTCAGGGAAGTGATATTAGATGGACATTTATTTCATATAAGACACTTTAGAAAGTTCTTTAAGATAGCAGAATGATCAGTTACTCTTTCAAAGAACACTGGCTAACCACTGCCATCTGCAGCAAGAGATGGGAGCTATACATACTTTCAGATGCAATGGGATTTGTGCGTCATGGTCCAGAGAGGATCAGGAGAACTGAGGGGGTGGAGAGCCAGTTAAAGTCAAGCAGGTAGTCAGAACAGGGTTTTGAAGGATTAAGAGTTATACAGAAAAGTATACAGCAGGTGGCTAAAGTGTAAATAAAGGCAAGAAAGAAAGTGACCCATGGGGGAAAACAGTGCCACCAGAATTCAGAGATAACCTTAATGTTATAGCAGTGTGGCCATGGAAAGGGAAAAGGCCAGTAGACATAGTCAGGGTGACTTGGCCTTTCTAGCAGTAGACATTCAGAATCTAGTTAGATGTGAGTTCTGTTCAGGAAAATGCTTTCATCACATGACAGCAGTGAGTGATGACATTTCTGGTGGTATTAGAAGAGCCACTCTTAAAGAGGCAGACAGACAAGATATGCTCACATCCAGGGTGCGTGAGAGGAAGGTACTTTGGCTCTTTTAGAGGAGAAATGTCTTTGAATTGGGGAAGTTACTAAGAAATGTCACCAATCAATGCTACAAATAAAAGGGTTCTATTTTTCAGAAACAGAATTGAATTCCTTACCTGGAACCAGTAAAAATTTAAAAGACTTTGTGTTGTACCTGTTTCTGTAATTAAGTTCTTTCATAACATTTTATTCAGAGAATGCCACATTAGGTACATGAAAGTCTACATAGTAAATCAAATCCATGTAGGTTGGATTGAAGTGAATGTTGAGTCCAGTCAGAGACAGAGACAGACTACATATTGACTTTTAAATTTTGTATCATCTTAAAAACAATAGGGTCCTGAGATGGTTATAATTTAGTATTATAAGGGCAACTAACAGGATACTTGAGAAATTATGTTTTCTACAGCAAACTGAATGAAAATGTCATTTTATAGTAAAATATTCTACTACCTTTTGATGCCTCAGGGATATCAGGTGGTACAAAGAACTGGAGAACTGAACTCCCAAAGTTCTGAACTCCAGTTCATGTGACTTAACTGAGTATTCCTGTCTGCTGAGTTCTTTAAGCTCATTCCAACCACATGCTTGCGAGCTTGTCCTGTGTGTTGGGAACAGGCCAAACTGTGTTGTCACAAAACATTTTTTTTTCCTACAGGGTCTCCAGGTCTCTACAAAGCAGAAAGTGTCCCCATGGGACCTGTTTGAGGGTCAGAAGAACCCGGCTCCTCTGTCCTGGGCCTGGTTCGGCACTGTCCGAGTGGACCGGAAGGTGATAAAGTATGAGGAACAGCACCACTTTCTTCTGTACCACACACATACCATGCCCAAGCCCCGAAGCTACTACCTCGAGCCACTGCCCCTGCCTCCTGAGGAGGAAGAGGAAGAGCCCACATCTCCAGTTTCTCAGGAACCAGAAAGGAAATCAGCTGAGCTGTCAGATCAAGGGAAAACTACAGCTGATGAGGAGAAGAAGACAAAGGGAAGGAAGCGTAAGACAAAATCAAGCTCACGCGTTGATGTGAGTAAGGGTGTAAGGGAAAGTTTGAGTCCTTAGCATCTAGGATGGGATTTACCTGTAGCCAAACTGTACTCCTAGAAACCTTATTAAGAATGCTATCATCTCTTTATATAGAGTTCCCTGACAAGTTTCTTCACTAATAAATGAAATGTCACACCATGACTTCTCATGGGTGACAGTTTAAAGTTTTTGATTTTCCATACTCCACCTGTAATAACTATTTAACTTTAAACCTCAGTAGTGATTAATATTGAGTTAATAAGCCTCATAATTTCCCTGGGTTTGAAATTTTAATTTTTCAGAGGTACACAATCCACTCTCTTAAACACTTTTATTACTAGGTATGCTTAAATACCTTATTTTGAATGATTGATATGTGTGGTGAATTAACATTAAAAAGTTCCTTCTACTTTTCTCTGAAAGACTTTGCATTTGGTTAACCCAACAGACTAGTCCTGAGATATTTTTCTTCTCCATTGTATTTTCTACCCGCTGAGTAGTCTTTAACATATTTTTAGGTCCTATAAAAGACAAAATAAACTTAGTTTAAAATCATCGCACATTTTCCCCTCCCTTTTCCAATACCATATGCCTATTAGATGATAATTGAAAAATTATTTTATAGGATAGGAGATGTGATTTTTAAAATAGCATTCTACTTGAGAGAGACATTTCAGAGCATTTTCTGTAGAAAGCAGGATGTTCTTGCTTGGCAGGGAGGAGATGCTCACAACACTCAGAGTTCATGAGCCATTGTCCTTAAGTTCACCTGTGTCGACACTGAGTTGCGCTTCTTCCTAGATGATAGCTCTTCCTGGGTGATTAGTACACCTTTAAAGATGGGTGCTGTCACTTTCAGATGCCACTTGAATACCAGTCTCTCTCCCAAACCTGGGACCCCCTGCCCTGCCAAGTTACATGGGTGAGGGCTTTTTTTTTCTCTCTTTTCACATACAAAAGCCTTACCTAAATACACTCAGAACCCTCCTCCTGAGGTTACCTAGGTCCTGAGGTTACCTAGGCCCAGATGGACATGCTTTTGTAAAATTGAAGGATACTGAGATTTTCCTTGTCCTTCATCCTCTTAGGGCCATGCTAGAAAAAGTATGGATGATGAGGGGGCTGAGACTTTCAGGTGTGATTTTCTTTTTTAAGTCTGTCTAAAATTAGGAGAAGGCAGGTGGGTTTTTGGAATGCCTACTTATTTTGAGTGCGGCCTTGAAAATTGTGGGTAAGATGCTTAGAGGCCCAGAGTAGTTCTGAAGGACCGTGGGCATTTCTGACACAGTTCTTACCCAGATACATGGTCAGACCTTTCAAGATGAGGCCCACAGGAAACTCTGCAACAGTTCAGCTGTCGGCATTGTTCAATGTTGGGATTAGATATGCAGTTTGGGCTTTTTTATGTCTTTTACAAGGAATACATTTTTTCTTCTTTCTTTTTGTGATGTTGGTGGGAAGATGGTAACAGAGATTGAACTTGAGGCCTTGTATATGCGAGGTGAATATTATTGAGCTAAGTACTTTCTAAAATCTAAGAAAAAATTCACTCAAGTGAATATTTTTTAGGAAATGGGTTACCATTTATGCTTTTACTCCTTTTACAAAAAAAAAAATACCCTTGAGCTCTGGGATGGGTTCATCTCACATAATTGAATAGGAAGAATTTATATTGATTAACTATGTATGGTATACTGAAGTTAATTTTTTCTTAAATATTTCTGTTGAAGGAGTATCAACAAACCAACATATATCGAGTGCCTCCTAATTACTCACCCATGTCCTCCCAAATGATGCATCAGCCACAGCCTGCGCTCTGGGGTTACAACCTAGTGGGCCAGCCTCAGCAGCCCAGCTTTTTCCTTCAGAATCAGTCTCTGAATCCAGGTAGGTATAAGACAGGTAACATGGTTTGAGCACTCTGAGGAGCTACTTGAAGTTCTTCTTGCTTTTAACCTTCATCCTCTACAAAATGAGGATTCGGATAAGCCAATACCCATTGACATTTTCATATCCTCACAATTTTTCTTCTTCTGAAATAAGATAAGGCTTCAGCTAGACCCAGTGGCATGCTCCTGTGTCCCAGTAGAGGATGAGACATGAAAACCACTGAGCATTGTCAACATAGCAAGAGCTTGTCTTCTTAAGTAATACGTTAATAAGTGGCTGGAATTACATGCATGAATTTTAGAATTTGTAACAAAGAGATTGCACTGCCTAAAGTTTGAGCTACCAGATAGAAAGTTGATAAAAGTTTTATGTATAGAAAATGTGCATATGGTTTTAATCTCCTAGAGAGGGAAAAATAGCAGGAGAGAGAATAAAGAAAACATAGTAAGAGAAGCAGGAGTGGAGCAGAGAGAGAAGACAGAGTCAGATTATAAAGAGAAGGAGCAGCTGGGGGCAGGAAGCCTGTGAGCTGGAGGGAGTTTAGGAGAGAGGAGGGTGGGAGGGACTAGGATACTAGAATGGACTTTGAAATGTGTAACAGGTATTTGTGATACTGAGGGAGTCTGGAGGCCAGCATGAGCCTTGGTATGCTAATAGGCACCATCAGTAACCATATA